ACCTTTCAGAAGCCTCTCAGTATATCTGGGCACATCTGAAATGTAAGTCACTCAAAATGGAGATGTCTCTTTCTGCTTAAAAATGTGTTTCACTGGAACACTGAATTCACATTGCAAAGAAAACATAGACTATTTTTTTTAATTTGTTTATGGTTTTATTATTATTATTTTTTATTATTTTTTATTTTATTTTCTTCCATACATTCAATCACATTATTATTTGTCTTACAAAATGGATATTTAAACAGGTGAACATTTCTCCCTAGTACTGTTGATAAAACTATGAAATATCTTCAACAGATAATACCACACCTCTTTGACATAGACTATTTTAAGCTGATGTAGTAATATTGTTTTATTTTGGCAGAAGTTTTTTGTTATGGGCATACATATGGACACACTTGTAACAATCTCTACACTTTGTTAATGACTCATGGGAACAGATGGAGAGGTGTTCCATGCAATCTTCTGTCTGGATGAACTCATTCTAAGACTTCAATTTTGGACATCATTGTTCAGTGCTACTTTTCTTCCTAGTTTACACTACCATGGGAGTCAAAAGTTAGATGAGTCTTAGTCTTGCTTTCTTGCTTATAGAATTAGGAGATTCCTACTGTTAACAACTTCAGAAATGTATGGACATATAGACAAATATTGCCAAACAAAGGTGGTTAATAGCTTAAGTTGTCTAGCAGTGTTGTTTTGAGGAGTTTGGTAAGAAAAAGCAACTTAGTTTTGATTGCCTAAAATGCTTGGGAAAAAAGTCCTTCTCTTCTTTCCTTTTTTCTGTTCTCTCTGTCCTTTTATTTCTCTGTTCTTCTTTCCCTCCCTTCTTTCCTTTCTTGCCACACACATTTTTTTAAGTCCTGCTAAATGCCAGGCGTATGTACTATGCACTGGTGATGCAGTAATGAATAAGAGAAATCATTTCTACCACTTTGGTGCTTGCAGAAATTAATTGGGTTTTCAAACAGTTCATGGAAAATGTGTATTATGAAAAAATCTATACATGGATTTAAAATTTTTTTCACCAAAATAAGCTTACACTTTAATTGCATTTTTTCCATGAGCTTCCTGAAGTACCTTCAAATTAAGTGCATAAGGAATTAATTAAGTGGAATTATAAAACACGTTACCAGGGAAGTTTAGGGTGCTGAGGGAATATAACATGGGACTCCTATTGAGTCTTGGAGAATCCTGAGGAAGTAACATTTGAACTGAGTCTTAAAGAAAGAGAAAGCAGCTAGATAAAGTTCTGGGAATGGGGTGAGCAAATAGGAAGAGTGCAGAATGGCATATGCAGACTCCAAGTCAGAAGAAAACTGGTGTGTCCAAGAAATAGAAAGGGAGTGAAGAGAGCATGGGAGAGAGGAGCGGTTTGTACTGGGGTGGTTAGAGGTGCCACATCATGTTGATGTTGGCTGTCTTTGCTGGGGTCCCGTACAAAGCTGCATAGTATCTCCAGAGCACTGGGGAGTCATCAAGTTTTTTTCTTTTTCTTTTTTCTTTTTTCAATTTGGTATAGGGTGCATGTGCTTGAGGGGAGAGACAGAGATAGATATATAGAGAGAGACAGGGAGGGATAGTGAGAACTCCCCGACCTCCTCAGGGGAGTGGCCATGACATAATCCCTTCTCTTCCATTTCTTCTTGGGATTTTGAGAATGCACATGTGCACAGTATGTTTTTCAAGCTGCCAGGTCCAGGACTCTGACTGTGCAGTGAGTCAGGTGATATCCAGCCACCTTAACCACTATGTCATCAGATAGCCCAAGTCACCAAGTTTCACGCAAAAGAGTGATAGACCAGGTTGATATTTCTCAAAGATGGACCTGTCTCAGTGTGGAGAATGAAGTAGAGAAATGACAGGAATAAATTCAGGGAGATTAAATAAGAGGCTCTTTAATTGACTAGAGTGAGTGTGGGTAGTAAATATTGTGTGTCCACTTGACTGGGCCAGAGGACGCCCAGATGTTTGGTTAAATGCTATTTATGGGTATGTTCATAAGAGTGTTTCCGGAAGAGATTAACATTTGGATTAGTGAAGTGAATAAAGCAGATGGCCCTCTTCTAATCTGTTGAGGGCATGAGTAGAATAAGAGGTGGAAGCAGATGGAATTAGCCCTTTGCTTGACTGAGCATTAACACTGATTCCTGCCCTCGGTGCTCCTGGTTCCTGGGCTTTTAGGCTCAGAAATCTTATACCATCAGATCTTCTATGGATCTACAGCTCATAGATGGTGAATTGTGAGAATTCTTAGCCTCTGTAACTGCACAAACCAGTTCTTTTTCTTTTTCTTTTTTATTTTATTATTATTTATACATTTAATCACTAGACATCATTGAGATTGAAAAGAGACTTTACCCAGCATGATATACACCTCAGTCCAGCCCAGTCAAGACTACTATACTGACTTTATATATATGTATTCTGTTGGTTCTCATTCTCCAGAGAACTCTGACTAGTACAGTGAAGATAACCTGGGTAAGGAGGGCTGTGATGAAGGTGGAGAAAGAGTGGATGAATGTATTTGGCCCAGCTGTGATGGTGCAAGTGATAGGTCACTGCTACACGAGGCACGGGCCACATGAGAGGCCTGGGCTTGTTTTCTGGACCAACCTAAGGAGATTAGTCAAGGTGGCAGACACTGTGATCATTGCTAACTGGGAGGCTGGGGCAGGAGGATTCTAATATGGTGAGATCCCATCAAAAATATCTAACTTTCTCTACCTCATCTAAATAAAAGTGGATGAATATACGCGAAATCCAGATAGACTCTATGATTGCTTAGATGGGTGAGTGAGGCTGAGGGGACTGTCTGGGCTGACTCTTAGCTTTGGTCAAACACCATGTTTTGGACCTGAATGATTATTGTGAAGATCTGTTTCATTTTTGCATGTCTTAACTACTTAGCTATGTGTGGAATATAAGGAGCCAGACACCTTAAAGTCCTCTGGACAATTTCCTGTCCTTGACAATCAGAAAGAGATGCCACCCACAGCTTCTTCATCTAGGGTGTCAAGCTATCACAGGCCAGGTACCTTGGCAATGTATCACAGTCACACCAGAGAACCACCTTCTTTCCTCTCTTAGCCTTCCCCACTTCCGAGTCTGTTTCTTCAGTCCCTAATATGTCTGCACTCATCTTCCTCTGTTTGGTCCATTTAGATTATAAACCTCCCAGATGTTACTGACCTTATATATATGTATTCTGTTGGTTCTCATTTTCCAGAGAACTCTGACTAGTACAGTGAAGATAACCTGGGTAAGGAGGGCTGTGATGAAGGTGGAGAAAGAGTGGATGAATGTATTTGGCCCAGCTGTGATGGTGCAAGTGACAGGACACTGCTACACGAGGCAGGGGCCACATGAGAGGCCTGGGTTTGTTTTCCAGACCAACCTAAGGAGATTGGTCAAGGTGGTCACATGGGTCTTTACCTTGAATCAGACCTTAGATATTTTCCCTCCCTTCCTCTGTGTTCTGCCCACAGGAATACACCTTGCCCTTCAAAACAGTGCATGTATGCATCTCATTGAAAACAATAGTCACATATCTGGAAAGTACTCTTGTCAAATACTTTATTATTCTTATTCTAAAAATATATATTTTTGAGGACTCTTTGTCAGGAACCATTTGTGAAATGAACAATCCTTCTGCATTAATTGCTTGACTACCTACCCTTTCCTTCCTCGGTCTCTGTGTCTTGAATGTGAAGACCATGAGTTCCATGCTGTGGTTGTGTGGAGGAGCTTGGGAGAAAATGCTGGCTTTAGTAGAGTGGCCCCATCACATCCTGCGCCTCTGGCATGGTAGGCTTCGGCCAACACTGGAAGTGTTGGACAGGCACTGGGCCCAGCAGTTTTTGGTGGCAAAATTGCCCATTTCTCTGGCAGAGAAAGGAGATGGCCACAGAAGGAAATAGGAGAAAAATAGTAAATACCATACTCAAGGGCATACATAAAATACATGCAGAGGAACCCAACAACTATGTGGGAGGAATGTGAGTGGTAAAGAAGAGCTAGAAGGGGCTTACATGAGAGACATACTGTTTTATGACTGATTCTGCCCTATTTTTTATATTTTTTTAGTAGAGTACTAGCATGCATGAGAGAGAGAGAGAGAGAGAGAGAGAGAGAGAGAGCAATCTTCACAAGACCCTGACCATGCCACGATCCCCTTCCTTCAATACTCTACCTTGTTAGATGATGGAAATTTCAAAATGCATGATCAGGCTGACTGGGCTGGGGATTTGAACTGTAGTCAGCATGTGGGATCCAGCTTCTCTTGAGCCATGTGTTACTGCTGCACCACAGAACTGGCCTTCATTCTGCACTATTTTAATGTCAGGTTGATGAGTTTAGGAAATATGGTTTGTGTAAAACAAATTTACTGGTAGAGGAATAGTAAAAAAAGAGGCTGAAAACATGAGTTGAAGTTAGATCATCTCTGACATCCTGAATATTTCTGGGCAGTGGTTCTCACACAGGCAATTATGCATTGTTAAAATGTGGATTTTGATTCAGAAGGCTGGGATGAGGCCTGGAATTCTATATCTCTGGCACGCTGCCAGATGATGTCAATGCTGTTGGTCTTTGGGCCCCATGTTGAGTAGCTGGGATCTCCAAATTAAAGAATTAATTTTTTTTAAGAGATACTTGGTGGAAAGTTTGATCAAAAGCCTGAGATAATATAAACTTTAAGATTCAAGTGCTTGGGACCAGCAGATGGTGTAATGGTTAAATTGCTGGACTCCCACATAGTTGACTGCAGTTTGAGTCCCACCTGGTTAGTTAAAACTCATGCTGTGTGTGTGTGTGTGTTTATCCCAAAATCCCAAAAGGAGAATGGAGGAGAAGAGATTGCAGTATGGCCACCCTCCCTGAGAGGGTCATTTCTCACTTTCTGTCTCTCTGTCTCTATAGCAAGTGCACACATCCTGTAGCAAAAAATCTCTCTCTCAAAAAAAAAAAAAAAAAAAGAGAGCGAGAAAGAGATTCAAGTGCTTGTTTTGTCAGCACATAGACTAAAACTGCAACAACACAAAGAGGATTAGCATGGCCCCAGTACAAGAATGTCAGGCAAATTTGTGAAGTCGTCCCTATTTTTACAAAGTGGACAAACTTAGAAGATATAATACTAAATGGGAACCAGCAGTTGGCATAATGGCTATGTCGCTGGACTCCCACGTAGTCGACCGCGGTTCGTGTCCCGGACCCGGTGGCTTAAAACTCACGCCGGGCGCGTGTGCGTGCGTGCCCAAGATCCCGAGAGGAGAATGGAGGAGAAGGGATTGCGGCGTGACCATCCCCCCTGGGGGGTGATTTCTCGCTTTTTGTCTCTATGTCTCTCTCTGTCTGTCTGGCGAGCGCACACGCCCTACAGTGAAAATCTCTCCAAAAAAAAAAAAAAAAAGATATAATACTAAATGAAACTAGCCAGGCTAGGAAAGACAAATACCTTGTCCCACTTAATGCACACGGAATGTCTGAACTGCGTGGGAAATGGAAGTACTCCATGGCACAGAAGTAGACAGTAAGGATAGACACCGGAAGCTGTGGGGTGGAGGGGTGTGGACTGGGGAGATGGGAGATTATGACCCGTGGGCGTTGTAAATAGTGGAATAGGTGTGGGACTGTGTACGACAGATGAGTGAGCCTGTTGCTGACAATTCAAAACATGCTTAAAAAACAGATTGGTAAAACTACTATAGAAAATGTACAGCAGCAGTAATACTTAATGTTGAAGACAATGAATAGGTCTATATCCTTGAAAAATCATGCTCTACTCCACCAACATGTACAAGGATTATTTGTAATGTAGGAATTATAATTTCAAAGGAAAAATAAGCACAATGATAAAAAGATTCGAGAGTGTTTCTCAAATTGCAGTTTTATGAAATATCAAGAAGTATTTACCTATGGGTTCAATCTCCCTGGTTTGAAACTTATCTCTGCTATTCAGTAGCTGTGTGACCTTTGTGAGTTTTTTTTTAACCTGGTATAGCCCAGTTTTCTCATCAGTAAAATGGTGATAATAAGAGTAACACTTTATATAGGGTCTCTGATTTTAGCTATAATTTTTCAATTTGAAGGCCTGGGTTCAATAAAGTTAAGTGGATATCTTTACTCCTAGACTTCTTAGGATCTTTAATTTGCTGAAGTGATGTTCCAAGAGATAAATGTTTAAGTGTCAATTCCCTTGTAGTAGGGTCTGCTTAAGGTTTAGCAGGAATGTAGCCATTTTGAAATGAAGAAAGGCCTCTAAGGAGAACAATCTGACCAAATCTGGGTCATAAGGAGATCGTTTTGAGGAATGGTCAGATAAGAAACCAGGAATAGATATTTGAAGAAGTCAGGATAATTAGTCAAGGGAAAAACAATTGACTCTGATTGACTGTAGTGAGGAATAATCTTCAGGTCCTTGTCTCTTTGACCTATAAATACTGAAGCCATGTTGTGCTTTTCAAAACTTGATGATGCTTGCTGACTGCCTCCCTATTCCTGGTTGTAGGGTAAACTCTCTTCTCCAGCCTCTGCCTCTTGTTTCATCGACCACAGGAAGAAGAAACTGGACTTAGTTTGGCTGGTAACACACTCTCCAATTTTCCTGGAGTATTTGGTAGGCCTTTTGTTCTCTGGAACCCCTGGTTTAGGAGGATTGTACCGGCAGCAGAAAGAAAGATAAGTTGGTTTGGGAAGAGATTGTAGCCTGGGGAGATTCTCTAGGATTTGAGTCTGGAAGGAAGGAGCGTGGCTAAGTGTGTAGGTGCTGAGTCATTGAGGCAGTGGCTGAGACAGACAGGAATGTGCGGTGGTCAGAAACATTCCAAGGTTGGATTAGGATGGAGACTAATTAGATGTGAGGGTAAGAAAGGAGGAGGGGTCTTGTAAGGTTCTTTCCCACTTGGAGAGAAACAGAAGGCCAGGGGAAAGTGCCATGTGTTTAATTTTCCATTCTGATTTAAATTCTGCTGCCTGTTGCCCACAAACTAACAGCCTGCCTCTTGAGTCTCTAGGGCATTTTACAGTAAAGCCACATATTTTCTGAAGTTGGGTCAAGACTGAGCATATGAAATTCTTCAAGTGTGAAATTCCACTTAACCCCATTAATGCTTATAACCCTGAGTAGGTATTGTTTATAATTCACTTCTAGTTATCAGTGGATATTTGCATTTGCCCAATCTTTTCACTTCTATCTCAAACTAAGTTTATTTTAGGGAAGAAAATTTGCCTTCCTGTCAAAAAGCTGAGCAGAACCAGCCTCTCTACCCGCCATTCCTCTGGTTTGCACATTTGACTGTAGCAGCGTGTGTGTGTGTGTGTGTGTGTGTGTGTGTGTGATGATATTCTGAATTTCACAATACTGATGATAATGAAACCTTGCATTTAAAGGGGCTTTTATGATTTATTGCAGGTTTTGAAATGGGTAGTATTTAGCATATCTATTTTCTTCCCTTATACATGGAAAATAAAGTAGGGATGGTATACAGGTTTATGTGAATTATAGATAATTTTCTTATCTTGGGAAATTTCTACAGCTTTTATATAGAGCTTTCATACATGTCTGATGCTGAAAATATTAAATAAATTATTCGAGTGACAAGGATTAACTCATTTATGTCTAAGTACAGTTACCAAACCATACTCACAGTATAAAGGGCCTGGTTAAGATACAGTGAAATAATTTTGGCCCCCTCAGTTTTACTCCTAAATTGAATTATATATCAGCTTTAATTAAACACACACGCACACACACAATGAAGACACATGATTCAGCATTTGCCTTAGGTTCGCATTCTTTTTAATAGCCCTTTGACTTTCTCTAAAGTAATTACTCTAGTTAATATCTTAGAACCATTTGACAAAGGCCCAAGATATAAATCTTTTTGAGTGGCATTTCGAGTATAATCTAGGATGAATTTGAATCTCTACAATTCCTACAGATGGGGAGCTCTGTTTCTGGCGGCTACCTAGATTTTAATTAGTGAAAATCTCTCATTGCACTTTGCAATGCTGATTTGTTTAGAAATCAAGCTTCAGATTATGTTCAGCAGTTAGCTGCAAGAGCCACCGGTCATGCAACATTTATTGTGTGCTGGCTGCTTTACAAACAGTAACACATTTCACCCTCCCAACTATTCTGTGAGGCCAGCATTGGGACCCCATTTTCAGAAGAGGAAAGTGCATCTTGAAAGGACTAATTTATAGAGGAGTCCAGATCCACTGGTCCAAGAGTTTCTATCCACTTGCTAAAAGACAATGCTTGTGGGGCTGACAAATGTTGACTGAGATTTTCATTTAGAGCATTTAGGCTACCTAAAAACTTGGAAATACTGCAGCATAGCAAATTTAACTTCTACACTTTGCAGGCCTTCTTTTTGTCTTACAAAAGTGAATGACACTAGGTCATAAAAAAATCAAGTGATTGGGCCAGCAGGTGGTGTAGTGGTTAAAGTGGTTGGATCCCACATGTTTGACTGTGTGGTTCAAGCCCCAAACCCAGCGGCTTGAAAGTCATGCCCGGTATGTTTGTGTGAGCTCAAAAATCTCAAGAAGAAAATGGAGGAGAAGAGGTCATAGCATGGCTATAAACCTTGAGGGGTGATTTCTCACTGAAGCAAGTGCGACTCCATTTTTTTTTTTTTTTGAGAGATTTTTGCTATAGGGCGCCTGCCCTCGCCAGAGAGACAGACAGAGACAGAGACAGAGACAGAGACAGAAAGCAAGAAATCACCCCCCGGGGGGATGGCCACACCACAATCCCTTCTCCTCCATCCTCCTCTTGGGATCTTGGGCACTCATGCACATGTACCCGGAATGAGTTTAAGCCACCGGGTCCGGGACTCGAACTGGAGTCGACTACATGGGAGTCCAGTGACATAGCCATTATGCTAACTGCTGGTCTGTGGGACTCCATTTTTGAAAGGGTGCTTCCAATTTAGATAATGTGCCTCCTTTTCCCCTCCCCACTGAAGCAGATAGGATCAACAGAGGCCCTACTCCCAGGTGCCTTAAGGAACATTCAGTGACCAAAGACCTTGTCTAGAACCAGGGGAGCCATTAAAATCCCATTGTGATCAGAATGTGCCCTCAGGAATGATTAACCTGCTTGCTTTGCTTCTGTAACGGGCTTTTTGCTTTGAAGAAAGAAAATCCCTACCCCCCTCTCTCTCCTGAAGTCCCTTCACTTTACTCTTTTGTCCTTGCAGATCATCAAGTCACCCTGGACATGATTGTGCATTTTTGGCCTATATAAGCTCTGTTCACCTTTCACTCGAGGCTGCGGGGTTTTGAGAGACATGAGTCCCCCCATATGCCCCGTCTTAATCAGTAAGCTCCAATAAATTTGGCTATGTCTGGATGTCCTCTTATTTCTCCCTGAGTAGACTATAATGTCACTTTCTCTCTGGTAAGTGCATGTGTCCTATAGCAAATTAAAAAAAAAAATTAAGCAATGAATGACTGATGATAATTTAATCTTTTAGTTTGAATGAGAAAATTGGCCATATCTTTTGAGTTGTAGGCATTATTGGATAAATATTGAAATAAAATAGCCTGATGTAAACTGCTAGTCAGGGTCTACAGTGGATACTATGGTATGTTTCCTAAACCCCCTTCTCTGGCTGTTCCTTAATGCTTCTATATCCCATCTTGGAAGAAACCCTTTCTGCTTCAGCCTGAAGTCTTCTCTTTATCCCCAGGTTGGGCTCAGTAACAGTGGTCTTATAAGGTGACCAGTCACCTTGGTTTGCCTGGGACTGTCCCAGTTTAGTGGTAAAAGTCCCACATCTCTCAGTCCTAGGGAGACCAGGTTGGTTGTCATCCCCTTTTCCCAGAGGAAGGCCCAACTGTGTGATAGAGTGAGTGGGCTAGAGCCCCCTATGGACCTGGCTAAAGCTGGTCTCCAGGCAGTGATACCAATGGGGGTGTTGAGCTGCATTATGTGAAATGCTCGGTTCTATGGGTCCTATAAGATTAGAGTTCTGCCCTAAAATGTAGGAAAAAGTCACAAACTCAAGTGAAGTAGGAAAAGATTTTAATAGGAAAGTGCAGATTTTTTTTTTTTAAGAGAGATTTTTGCTATAGGGTATATGTACTTGTCAGAGA